ATCTCTCCGGCCACCCACTTTATTACCGGTAATCTGCTTACTTCAGATATCAGAATGAATAGGGTGATTGAACAGTTGCCTTTATTTTATTTTTTTAATTGCATGGAATTTGGGTTCTCCGCATAGATGGGTTACAGCAAATAACACAGAAAAGCACTTTACAAAAGCTATCCCATTATTTCTATGTAAATATGGATGTGATGTTTTCCTGCAAAGGAGAGTCTTGATAGTTCCATAAACGCAGAGATTAATATATTGAAACCAAAAGTCCATGGTGGGTTTTTTGGGGGGTGAAATCAGCAAGAATTATGAGCACTGAACTTATTTTAATACATAGGTGTGTGGCTGAAATCAGATATACTCTGAAGTTGCCACAAGAACGTTGTTTTAATTCTCTTTCTGCTCCCTTCTTTCTAGTTGATGTAATTTGCCATACTAGGGTGTTGTGAGGATTTATTGCATTGATGTTGTAGTTTTTCAGCATGAAAGGGTGGCGCTTTAATAGATATAGTGTAAGGGAGTTTGATGTTGAGTGTGTAGGTGTATTTTCAAAACAACTTGGAAAGCATGTTCATTTTTGTCTAAACTGAATTGCCATCTTACAAGCACTGAATTATTTTTACTCTTTAACGAAAGGTTGAAATGCAAGTAAGGCTGTGAGTATTTTCAGGGATGTGAGATCCAGCCCTGAGACATTACCAGGCACTTTGCAATACTCTTTCCACATCTTCTCAGAATGGGGTCACTGCTCACTGCTTTTAATAGCATTGTCTACTATTCTTGTTCCCTTCTATGATGGGGCTTGCAACCACAGCTGGAATAGCAGGGTGACAAAGGAAGCATTGTGGCATATACCTAGTGGGTTCCAAGTTCTGAAAGATGGAATTCTCTAGGCTGGGATTTGCAGCCATATCACTGCCTTGTGTGTTAATTTTTTTGTAAAGTTGACCACATTTATTAAAGAGGCTGTAAAGCTAAAATTGCTTTCTTTCCTTTTTTTAAAGAAAAGCAGTTTTCTAATTCTTTTACTAATGAGAATTTGTAAGTCCTTCCCTTTTTTAATACAGGAGGGAATTTGCTTTAAACATTCCATTTTAATACCTGGGCCCCATAAAGTTTACATTTCTGTGCCAATTTGTTGATATGTTCTTAGATATGTTTGATGTATTTATTGCTGTAGGTTTTTAACCTTTTGTTATGAGTGGTTCATTTTTCAATAAATATTAAAAAGCCAATGGTTCTTAAATGACTCACCTGAATGAAGTATTGCTGAATTCTTGAGCTCTCAAACAGCTTCTAAAACAATGCCTCCTTATTGCCACCTTAATTTTTGTAGACACAGTAGAACACACAAAACTTGGGGTTGGGGGAAAGAGGTTAGGTATACATAATCCTCCAGCCCCAAGAAGGAAAAGTAGTCTGGAAATTGATCTAATTTGGGAGGTTATTATTGGGAAGGTAGTAAAATGTAGTAAAAACTGTCTTCCCTGATCGCTAACCTGAGCTGCTATGCACTGAGCTGACTGGCTCTCTATAGAGGGGTGGGTGGGAGAGAAAATATTTTAGCTACCTTTCTACACGTGTACCTATTGTTCTGAAATAGTCCTTCCATAACAAGCCTGCCCAAAATTATTCTCAATAAGTGAAAAGACTGCAATTCACAAGTACTGCAAAATTTTCAATGGCAACTTTATTGAAGGAATGCAATTTACGTAATTCCTGAGTTGTTACAATCAGGAAGACCTCGCTTCACTCCCATATAAGGCAAATGCAGGTATAGGACTCTTGCCTCATTCCTCGCCGTTGTGCTACAGTAACAATGGCACTGGCAAAATCATCTTCATCTGTTTATCTCGGTTGGTACAGCACAAGACTCTTAATCTCAGGGTTGTGGGTTCAAGCCTGACATTGGGCAAAAGATTCCTGCGTTGAATTAGGGGGGAACCTCATGGTTCCTTCCAACTCTTGAGTCTACGTACCTCAGCAGCTCGTTGGCAAGGTTGCTATTCACACACGTAAAGGGAATAGCAATCTCGTATTTGCCTTTCTCCGTACATGCCGCATAGGAGCCAGCAACCGCTGTACCACACTGCCAGAGGGCTCTCTAACCTCTCTTCAAAACCCCTGCTTTTGGAATGATATAATAAATGTGTTAAAGGCTTTAACCTCTTTGTGCATAATGCCTATTGTTACTACCGGATTTCCCCCCGAATAATCAACTAAAATGCATTTTTGTTTACAAGAATAAACAAAACTAGTTTACAAAATTGGTGGGACCGGTTGCCCACTAGTGCCACATTTATTTCAAAACAAAATAATTTGTTGTTGCTTTTCAGGGTGTAAGCTTATGTCAAACCACTAGATAAACATGCATCTTAAAGAACATTAAAATAGCATACACACACACACAAGCAGCTGGAAAATGTACTAGTTTTCAAACAAATCTTATAGGAAACATCCTTCCTCTCCAAGATGTAAAATGGGAAGTCTATAATGGTTTGCTCAAGCCAAGCTCAGAATGTGACGTGCTTTGGAAGATTAAGAATGTTATGCTTTTAATGGAGAAATTTCTGGAACAACAATGGGATATCAGTCTCACCCAAGGCATGGTGGATAACAGGAACAACTGGGGGAAAGAAAGACATAGCATCTTACAAGGACAGGAAGAAACACCATGGACAGAATTGCCACACACAGGAAGAACAAGGATATAGTTTAAGTTCCTCACTTGTAGTTTTATAAATCATTTAATGTGTAAACACGGATAGAAGTTATTAATATTGCAGTTGTTGTATAAGGATTATTATGACCAGAATGCAAAGGAAATTAGTAAGATTTTGGAACACGGAAATAAAGCAAACAAACCATCAATTCTAGCACGTGGGGAGGAGCACCTTATCTAAATTATATAACTTGGTATTTGAACTATTGGTATTAACAGCTGTATTATAAATTGTTATTGTTATAATGAAGCTATTACTGGATTGTAATTGAAAACTAATAAAAATTATTATATATAAAAGAATGTTATGCTTTTATTCATTCACAATAAAAACATGTAAAAGTGTGCGTGCCTGCCTGCCTGCCTGCCTGCCTCAATACAGATAAAACACGGGCGCAGCCAGGATTTATTGGGGAGGGGCAGGCTTTAGGTTTGGGGCGGGCAGAACCGAGTTACCTGCAATACAATTGGTCAGTTGAGTATTAGTATTTATTTACTTGATTTTGGGGGGTGGCAGCTCCCCCCCCCACCGTCCCCGCTTAAACAAACAAACAAAACACCCCACGGCTTCCTTTCCCCTCAGCAGGGAAATGAAACGCTGCTGCTAATTAGGAGCCATTTCCCTTCGATAACGCTCAGCGTGGTTGTCGTCGCAGGCTTTGCCGTTCCCCTCCGCCAAACACCCCTGTCAGGTGGGCCGCCTGGAGCGCTCTTACCAGGGAGTAGACCCCACAGAACACGGGGACTTACTCCTGAGTAAACGCGCGCGGGCTTAAGCCGGGCTCAGTCTCCTCCCCCCATACACACACTTATTTTCGCTCCTCCGGCTCCCCCTCAGCGCGGCGCCCCGAGCAGCCGGGAGTCGTGAAGGAGGCGCCGACCCCGAGCGCCTTTCGCCTCCCGCCATTTCCCGGATATCGGCGCTGGCCCTGTCCCGGCAGGCGGCGGTGCTCCGCGTTGTGGTTCCGGGTTCCCGGAGCGCCTGGGGCCACGACGGCCGCCGGTTGCTGGTCGCCTTCGCCGCCGACGCCGCCGGTAAGCGCCGTCCTGGGCAGGCCGGAAGGCCCGTTAGCTGCTGCCTCATAGGCCCGGCGCGCTTTCGGGGAATAGTCGGCCTCCTCCCCGCAAGCCGCCCGCCCTGCGCACCGCCCGGTCCCTGAGGCGGCGGGGCTCTGAGAGGATTGTTGTGGTGAATAACTGCTGCTGTTACTGTCGACGGCAGGAGTCGCACCACACGCGTGTAAACGGGCCCGAGGGGCTCCGGTTAGGGGGCGAGGGGGGTTATATTCGTATTTTGGCTTCCGTGGGGCGCCCCGCGTAAAAAAAAAAAAAGGAGCGCTTTAATCCGGAGTAACTGTCACCGCCGCTCCTAGAAGCGTGGGGCTGGTTCTCAGCGTGAGGGATTGTGAATCTTCCCTCTCGTGAAAACAACCAACCATCTTTTCCACGCATTACAAATGTGCTGCTGTGGGGGATAAACTTTCCATACTATCTCCTGCAAACCTTGTAGCGGCACCTTGAAAACCAACCAATGCATTGTTTTGTGGATTGCTACTGCGCTTATCTGGTATGGCTTTGACCTGTTGCGTGGAAACCTTGATAGAGACAGCCCCTTGCTGTTTCGCTTTCTCTATACCTCTCTGCCTGATGTTGGACAGGCACACTGACATCTCCCTGCCTTGCTCTCCATATTCAGTCCATTGCCAGGTCATGGTTACTTCTCACTTCAGAGCATTGCAAAAAACACCCACCCATACGCACCAGGGGCTTTCCTCTCTGAGCCCTGGGGAAAGACCCTTGTCCCTCTGCCCCATGGCCTAGGTTGCTGCAATGCTCTCCTCTCTGGTCTTCCATTGCCTCACCTTGGTTCCATCATCTCCATCCAGCTACGTTCCAGAGGGGTATTTGCAAAAACAACAGAGAGCTGAGTGGCACTTTAAATTTTAACAAATGTATTAATAGTGTAAGCTTCTGTGGACTAGACCATGGGTAGGCAAACTAAGGCCTGGGGGCCAGATCCGGCCCAATCCGCGGACAGTCTGGGAATCAGTGTGTTTTTACATGAGTAGAATGTGCCCTTTTATTTAAAATGTATATCTGGGTTATTTGTGGGGCATAGGAATTCGTTCATTCCCCCCCCCCAAAAAAAAATACAAGCTCGCTCCCCACAAGGTCTGAGGGACAGTGGACTTGCCCCCTGCTGAAAAAGTTTGCTGACCCCTGGACTAGACAGACAAACTGCTGCTTGAGCGGGGTGTGTTTCTGTGTGTGTGTGTGTGTGTGTGTCACACAACAGTGAGATGGAATTGTGAATCTGTGAAGTTAGAGGGAAATGAAATGCAGAAAGCACGGACAGTAGCAACTACATTATTAACAATGACCATTCCCAAAAGAGGGTTAAGGTGCCACAAAACAGTTTGTTTCTGCTGTTAAAATCATTCCTCCCTCAAATAATGTGATGCCCTGTCTGGTCCAATAGTTCCTCATCTTTGCTATCAAAACCCTCCATGACTTTGCCCCTCCTGATCTCTCCATTCTTATGTCCTGAAACATCCCTGCTTTTGACCTTTGCTCATGTAGCTCTATCACCTCCAGCTGTCCAAAGGTATTCTGCTCCCTCAGAAGACTGCCTTTCCCCATTTGGAACTATCTCGCACATCACTTTTGTGATGCAATTTTTTCTCTTTCCTCAAATCCTTCCTCAGTGCCCACTTTCCTCATAAAGCTGTTGGCACAAAACCTGGTGTAACTGCCCAAGTATCTGTAACAGTGAAGAAGGGGTGGGGGAATAACACATTCTCCATCTGTTTTTCCTGAGCTTTCACAGCTCTGCACTTCCTTGTTACCCCCTCTGTCAGTTTTTAGATTGTATGTTTCTCAGGGCAGAGACATGGCCTCTTGTTTTCTCTCAAGCACTTTGCAAATGGATGATAGAATGCTATAGCTATCTGGATCTGATGAAATGTGCTTTAGACCATGAAAACCCATTCGAGAAAGAGTAAAGTAAGTGTCCCAAAATCCCATTTTGTGTTTACTGTAACAGGTTAACACAGTTAAGCTTCTGGAACTTATTGCATGGTAGAGCAATACAGACAGCCATACTACCCCAGGTGAGAGAGAGAGGGAGAGAACTCATTTTGGTGTACAGTGGTACCTCGGGTTGAGAACTTAATTCGTTCCGGAGGTCTGTTCTTAACCTGAAACTGTTCTTAACCTGAAGCACCACTTTAGCCAATGGGGCCTCCTGCTGCCGCTTGCTGCACGATTTCTGTTCTCATCCTGAAGCAAAGTTCTTAACCCAAGGTACTATTTCTGGGTTAGCGGAGTCTGTAACCTGAAGCGTCTGTAACCCGAAGGACCACTGTAGTTTGACAACCGGTTCAGACTCCAAAAGCATGGCCAGAGTGTGTTTGTTGAGGAGTAACTAAGTGTGTTTGTTAGGGAGTTACATTATTTAGCTTCTGCAAGTACCCTGAGTGATGAAATGTGTATAATGTTGCATTTCCAAGGCTACTCTTTTATAGAATTTCAAGAGACTTTCAGCTTCTCTTGAATGAAGAGTTTTTTAGGTGTCTAAATGCAACATGAAATCTTTTCAGAGACTCCCCAGGCTTGGCTGTACAAACAAGTTGCATTGATGATGTGCCACTGGCATGAATATTTTTTTCACATGTAGCCATGCAAATCATGCCTGAAGTTACCGCATAGCTACAAAGCTGGTCCTTAAGAAATTCATTTTTGCTCATTGGTTGTTTACTTACACACCTCATACTGTTGGTGTTACCACTTGTGCACAATTATTGAAGTGCGGTTTAACACTTTAAGCAGTTGAAACAGACTCTAATCTAAACCTGATACTGTATGCCCAAATCTGTTTCAACTGCTTAGATTAGATCAGATGCTTAAAATTCAGTAGTACCAAGGTCATTAGTCTTTCCTGGTAGTAGAAAAACTCCATCTCAACAGGTAGTTTCAGTTTCTTCCACAGAAAATATTTTTGACAATTTTGTTTGTGTATATATAAATATATATGTTTCATAGATATGGATAACAGACATGAAGAGAAAGGTGGGGCGCTGTGTGCAACATCGCAAGAGAAAACTAAAGGAAGAGGTAAGTGTAATTGTTGAGTCTGTGACAGTAACTTCAATAGAGAGCATTCTCAGGTTTTACACTCCCTGAATGTATATCGCTTGTATCAGAGCCAATTAAATGCTAACTATTGGTTTACACACCTTTTTTTTAAAAGTGCATTTGGGTGTTTTGAACCAGTCTTTCAGATGCTTTGGCACATTTCCAGATTGCAGCACAGTGTTTTTAAGTTCACTCAACTTCTTGAAGGTTTTTGAAGGCATTGTGGGTTGTGTTGGAACTAGTCACACTACTTAATCAGCACTCTCTGATCACTGCAAAGTCAACTTGCTTTATCTTCAGTATGTAACATACTGTTATGTGAATTAGACTTATCTTCTGGAAGTGTTGTAGTGCAATATTCAGCCACCTTGCTGAAGCTAAGCGTTTCTGAGTTTCGTTGGTGCCTGGATAGATAACCTGGGAATTGCTTGTGTATTGTCTTGTGTACTATTCCATGATGGAAGGAAGATGGGATTTAAATAATTCTGTATGTACGATCTAGTTGAGATTCCTGCATTGCAGGGGTTTGGCCTGAATGACCCTCAGGATCCCTTGCAACTCTGCAATTATATGATCCTATGAAATGCAGTAAATAAATATATGTGTTCACTTTTTATTATTTAATTATCAATTTGATTAATCTGTGTTTTGCCTTTGAATGGTAGCTATTAAGAATTAAAAATGTACTGAAGCTTTTTTTTTAAAAAAATACCATTTAAAATCAGGATTTTCTAATCTAATGTATCAAAAAACGTAAATCCTAATCAGTGCTCCTGTACTCTGGGTTTTTTTTTTCTTTAAGAGAGAGAAAAGAGGAAGCGAAAACGCAGCAGGAGCAGGTCCACCTCAATTTCTTCCACTACGTCGTCTAGTTCTTCAACATCCTCATCTTCAAGTTCTTCCTCAAGGTCCTCTGCTTCACGCAGCAGAAGCAGCTCAAGTAGTAGAGGTATGATTTGATATTTGCATTGAAGTAATATGTTTAGTATACGATGGCTTCAAATACTGACAGCAAGTCAGCAAATACCGACAACTTCCAAGCCCAGACCAAGCATAGATTGATAACCTGCATTTTGTAGGAGCTTAACTGTGCACTGTCTTAATGACTTTGTTGTTGTGAGAACCTGATTTAGCATGGTGGAGATGCTTGAATGTAATAGACCTGATACTCAAGCCAGTAAGGAAAGGAGGGGGCACAACACTGAATTCCATCCATAGACTAAAACACTTCTCCTTGATCGTGTAAACATTGGTGCCAAATTTGATGGTGCCATCTTTAGAGGTGTCCAAATCCATGCAGATTGGAACATTTTGGACTGCAATCTTGATTCAAAATGGTGTCTTGTATATCCATACATAAACGAAAAATAGTTCCACCTTCTCAGGAACTGTTTTGTAACACAACTCTGATTCATGTAACATCGTTCAAGCCATAATACGTGTTTGTTTGTTTGTTTGTTTGTTTTAATTTTAATTCCTAGATTCTCCCAAATCAAAATCAAAGAAAAGGAAAAAGGAAAAACAGAACAAAAAGGTAAGGCCAAGATTAACAGATAAAGCAGAAATGAAAAATCAGTGCTGCTGAAAAGCTCTTCTTTGTGCTTTGTTCAACATGTCATGTTTTTGAGCACAAAATATTTTGTAATTTTCTTCTGTGGATTCAGACAGAATATGATTTGGACCCAAACGAGAGATTATGCTACTCTGACTAACTTCCTTTTAGCAGATTACATTGCTTGCTGACATGTGACAACCTCTCATGGAGGTGGCATGTGAAGATTGCTTGTCTTCCAGCTGCTTTGGTGATGGACCTATGAACTCCATAGCCATGGAAATGCATGTCTCATTGTTGGTTCGACTCACTGCGGATGTGACTTAAGTTTACAACAGTGATCCTCATATGATGGGTTGGATGCCTGTTAGCGGATAATGTGGGTGGGTCATATGGCTGCTAACAGTGGGTTCTGGAGAAAATGTATCATTGGAAGCATGCTACTGGCATTTTCATTCATAGATTGGACTTCTATTTAAGGATTGAACTAAATGAGCTCAACAGTTGATTAGCAGGTACCTGTAGAGCCGGGTTAAGGAACTAGAACTGGCCAGCAGGTCAAATCCATGGTTCCCTGATCCCCTGTGAGCAAAGTTGGATGGGTAGCACCTATCAGTCTCCAGATGTCACAATGACATTGGGAGCCTGCTTTCCTTTGCCCTCGTGGTTTGAAATCAGGTTGTGTAGACAAAGGCACAGCTCTCTACAAGCACCATCCATCACCCTACAGCAGCCAGTTTGTTTTATGCTGCATTCCCATAGCAACCATTTCTGGACTGTCACCCACAGGACTTTCTCAAAATTCCAAACATGCCCACTGGCCTCAAAAGGTTGGTGAACTCTGGTTAAGGTAAAGGTAAAGGTACCCCTGCCCGTACAGGCCAGTCTTGACAGACTCTAGGGTTGTGCGCCCATCTCACTCAAGAGGCCGGGGGCCAGCGCTGTCCGGAGACACTTCCGGGTCACGTGGCCAGCGTGACGAAGCTGCTCTGGCGAGCCAGAGCCGCACACGGAAACGCCGTTTACCTTCCCGCTAGTAAGCGGTCCCTATTTATCTACTTGCACTTTGACATGCTTTCAAACTGCTAGGTTGACAGGCGCTGGGACCGAACAACAGGAGCGCACCCCGCCGCGGGGATTCGAACCGCCGACCTTTCGATCGGCAAGCCCTAGGCGCTGAGGCTTTTACCCACAGCGCCACCCGCGTCCCGAACTCTGGTTAGCAACTTATAAATATTGCCAATAAATAAATAAATAGGGAGATTGGTCTGCTAGGTCTCTGTAGGCAGTGCATAAATTAATGTGAATCTGTATAGGTGCTCTGTGGCTACTATCAGACATAAAGAAATGCCTGTGCATGTTTTTATCTCTTTAGAAGAGAAAAAAAGATAAGTTGAAGAAAAAGAAAGAAAAGAAGAAAAAGAAAGAAAAGTCAGGTCCTGTACAGCTTTCTAAGGTAGGTGCAAGACTGAATGCCTGGCAGTGTGTCAATTTTCCCCCACAGAACTAGACTAGCTCATAAGTGTCTATGATTAAAAGTATTTAAATGGGCAGTAGAATTACTTAGATTTTCTGTTTTGATTACCTTCTAAAGGTTGAACTACATCTTGCTATTAGAACAAACACTGTGGCATATTTATTGTACATTTTTATCTGGTATTTCTCCAAGGAGCTCAGGGTGGCAGACACAGTCTCCCCACCCCTGTTTAATCCTCACAACAACCCTTAAGTTAGGTTTAGGCTGACATTGTATAATTGCCCCAAGGTGAGCTTGGCTGAATAGAAATTGATACCCAGGTCTCCTCAGTCCTAGTTCGGCACCATTACCACAGGTGTGATTGAGCAGAATGAACTTCAGGAGAATGAAACTCTTTCAGTATTATTTTCACCAGATTCATAGAATCTACTGTTTTAGTCTCTGACCCTGAAGAATCCTGAGTATTTTGTTTTTAGGCTGTTTCCATTGGGTCAGATTTCCCTCCCCCCCCCCAAACTTAAATCAGTTTAAGATTTTTGATTTCCTGTTTGTTTTGGCTTAAGAGGTCCATTCATTACATATTTGCACATGTTTCTGTTTTCCCTGTAAGCCACACATAATTCTGAAGAAGCGGGCATGTAGCTCGGAAGTACTTCTGGATCCTTTGCTGTCGCTTGAGATTCAGGTGGTCTCAGGGGCATGGAGTGTCCTCCATCAGCACTGGCTGATGGCCCAGCTGCGCCCCTATCTACACAGGGATAGCCTAACTTCTGTTGCTCTGGTAACATCTAAATTAGATTACTGCAACAAGTTTTATGTAGGGCTTCCTCTGAACAAAGTGAGCTGGTGCAGAATTCAGCAGCCACGTTTCTCACTAGGGCAAGGCACTTTGAACCAGGTCCAACTGCACTGGCTGCCAGTTAGTTTCTGGGCTCAATTCAAAGTGCGGGTTTTGACCTATAAAGCCTTAAATGGCTCCGGACCACAATACCTCAAAAAGCACCTCTCCCTGAACCCTGTGATCATCTTCAGAGGCCCTGTTTCATGTGCCTCCTCCACAAGAGTTCCGGAGGGTGGCAACACAAGAACAGGCTTTTTCTGTGGTGGCTCCCCATTTGTGGAATGCTCTCCTCAGCAAGGCTCACCTGGTGCCTTCATTTCCTATCTTCAGGCACCAGGCAAAAACATTTCTCTTTAGTCAGGCCTTTGGCTGATTAACATTCTAGGTCCTTTTAAATGTATTTGCAGGAGGGCGGTGATTGAGATTTTTTGTTCTTGTTTTTATTATGTAGTTTGTATTCTCGTTTTGTATTTTTATGTTGTGAACCGCCCAGTGATCTTTGGATGAAGGACGGTATACAAATTTAATAAATTAACAACAACAGCAGCAATATAGATAATTTAAAATGGTACATATTTATTTATGTATCAAATACATTCTTTTAGTACTTGAAAGATAAAAAGAAGAATCAGAACTACAGTATGATCACAGGGAAGAAAATTAAGATGAAAGTAAAGAAGAGTAAAAAGGATAAAGAGGTAACATTTTAAACTTTTTTATTGCTTCCTTAGGGGAGGGGTGAGGTGGTGCCTGTGTTTACTGGTTTGTTTTCCCTTCGGTCGTAGCATCAGAGCTATGTAAATTCATAATCCACTTTTGGTCTACACCTTGATCTAGATCTGTATTTACTGCCAATCATTTCCGTGGGCTCTAGCACTCATCACGGTGTGCCATTGCGCCAGAAGCGGTTTAGTCATGTTGGCCACATGACCCAGAAAGCTGTCTGCAGACAAACACTGGCTCCCTCGGCCTGAAAGCAAGATGAGCGCCACAAACCCATGGTTGCCTTTGACTGGACTTATCTGTCCAGGGGATCCTGTACTGCCAATGCAGATGTACACCTCCATTGCAATGCTTTTCCAAACCCTGTCAAACTGTCTGGACATATCTTTTCATACAGATGGGTATACACATCTGTAATGACCAGTTGCTACTTGAAATGGCAGCTGGATCAAAGCTGTAGCTTTTCTCATAATGTTCTGCATTCCTTGAGTTTGTTTAAAAAACACCTCTTTATGTTTAAAGGCCTTCTAGTTTTTCTAGTGATTTTTCTGTTATTGAATTATTTTATATCATTCCCCCTAATGATATAACGAACTCAGATGACTGAAAGCCTAGGAGTTTGGAAGCAAAACAGAACCACCCCTTACAAAAGGCTACAAAATGAGTTTCTAATAGTTTGAACTGGCTATTGAAAGCATTTATAAAATAGTTTTAAATTCACTGGCTTTTTTATTTCCAGCGAGATCGAAACCGCGCTGAACTTCTTGATTTCTTGAACTCTGCTTTGTAGTGAACATGCTACTAAGCAAGGACCAGTAAGTCTGTCAACCTGCTCCTCAAAGCACCAAATACAAGCTCAGAGTGAAGGGGCGAAAGCACTTTATGTGCGATGAGCTGAAATTCTCCTGCTGCGAAGATCCTCCTGTACAACAGTAAAGAACTGAAGGCAACAACTTGCCAACAAAGAGCCATATTGCCGCTCCTGGGGACCCTAAGAAAACTAGGGTGATTCTTTACAAATGCTTTAATGGGAGATGACATGGTTGAATTTTGACCTACTGTGCATATCCCAAACTGCATGCAGAAAACAACTTTACCACTGGCTGTCCTTTGTCATTTTTCATGTTAAAGCTGACTATTTGCAAATAAGCTCTTTCAAAAAAAGAGTACCTGTATATATAGAAATTTTTAGTATTGAAGATATTTGTTTGTAAACGGCAAAAATCACCTCTTTCTAAGTAGTGTGTATTCTAGAGAAATTAATACAATATACTTTTGAAAACATTGTTTCATTGATAGGATTTCCTTTTCCTTTTCCTGTTATTAACAAGCCAAACGGCAGTTTGTTAACTAGGTGCTAGGCTATTAATTAAAATATTCTGGCATAATATAACCATTATGTGAATATTCTGCAACTAGCTTGCGTCCTGGTGTAATTTATTATTTTGTGTTGATCCCCCACTGCTTGCTTTTTTGTATGCTTGCCATAGTTTATGTTCTAACCTCCCACAGAGAAGTATGTATGTAGGTGCACACTATGAGAATCCCACCGGGCCATCAACTTAAAGAGAGTTCAGTGGTACGCCCAATAGACTTCAATAGACGAGTCGTTATGTAAGGTCACAATGTACAGACTTCTATTTTAAAAGAAAACAAAATAAAATCTGTTTCTGAATTTGAATCACATAGCACTTGGTGAATTATGTGCCACACAAGTAGAGTTTTAGAGTATCAGGATATGGAAGCTCGGAGCAGAACAAAACAGGCCAGGTCAGTGGTCACAGGGTTCCTGCCCCAAACCGTTACCTGTTCTCTCTTGAGAACATTTACTAAAGGAAATGCATGATGAAATCTTGTAGCTCATTCTTACCGCTCCACATGATTAGGTGCCACATGGACTGGGGGAGATGAGGAGAGAGAAGCATATATCATATCACACTTTTAATAAGATCAGCACTAACAGAAGGGGAAAGTGGACTCTGGACTCTCTTAGCAGCATATGTAATAGTTGTCATTATTTTGCATAAATTACTAGAGTACTTCTTAGTGTGGATATTCCTACCACCCAAACTAAGCAGGGAGAGATAGTTAGATCTGCTGTAATGCAGTATAACAGTGGTTTTCAACCAGTGTGCTGTGGCACCCTGGGGTGGTCAAGGAGTGTTGGTTGCCAGCAGCTGAGGCGGCCTCGGAGCAAGGAAGCAAGCAGGCCGGGGAGCCCAGCCAGCCAGTCCAACAGCCCTTGCTGCTGGGAATGGACAGACAAGTCCCAGGCCCCTGTGGGGCAGTGTGAGGAGGCATATCTCCTTGGGGGCAGGGAGGGGCAGCTCAAAGACTAGGAGTGGCGGCGGCAGCTGCCCTGAGGACTCCCAAGGAGAGGGGAGAGAAGGCTGAAGGAACACTTCTCAAGGGAGGGTGTTCAAAAAAGGGTGAGACGCTGTCAGCTCTACAGGCAAGGGGTGACATAACTTGGCTCCTGATCCCCACAGGGGTGCTGCAGAAAGAAAGTAGTTGGTCAAGGGAGCCACGGACTCAAAAAGGTTGAAAACCTGCAGTACTGTATAGCATTCCACAAATTCCAATTGGTAAAATCCCTAGAAGTAACAGCAGAGGGCACTCTATCCCTCTCTAAATTTGTGGCAGAGTGGAATTGACTAGAGAAAAAGCCCTGGTGAAGAAGGAAACATTTCTAACATCTGTACAGAGTACGGTTCTGATAAATTCTGTTGAAATACTTCGTAAATGAAACTGGTAGCCAAAGTTGCTTTGAAAATGATCTCATTTATGTGTTCATCCTATTTTTATACAGCATTTAAATGAATACACATAGTGGTGTTGTTTAGTCGTGTCCGACTCTTCGTGACCCCATGGACCAGAGCACGCCAGGCACTCCTGTCTTCCACTTCCTCCCGCAGTTTGGTCAGACTCATGTTTGTAGCTTCGAGAACACTGTCCAACCATCTCGTCCTCTGTCGTCCCCTTCTCCTTGTCTTTCCCAACATCAGGGTCTTTCCCAGGGAGTCTTCTCTTCTCATGAGGTGGCCAAAGTATTGGAGCCTCAGCTTCACAATCTGTCCTTCCAGTGAGCACTCAGGGCTGATTTCCTTCAGAATGGATAGGTTTGATCTTCTTACAGTCCATGGGACTCTCAAGAGTCTCCTCCAGCACCATAATTCAAAAGCATCAATTCTTTGGCGATCAGCCTTCTTTAGGGTCCAGCTCTCAATTCCATACATCACTACTGGGAAAACCATGGCTTTAACTATATGGACATTTGTTGGTAAGGTGATGTCTCTGCTTTTTAAGATGCTGTCTAGGTTTGCCATCGCCTTTCTCCCAAGGAGCAGGTGTCTTTTAATTTTGTGACTGCTGTCACCATCTGCAGTGATCATGGAGCCCAAGAAAGTAAAATCTCTCACTGCCTCCATTTCTTCCCCTTCTATTTGCCAGGAGGTGATGGGCCCAGTGGCCACGATCTTCGTTTTTTTGATGTTGAGCTTCAGACCATATTTTGCGCTCTCCTCTTTCACCCTCATTAAAAGGTTCTTTAATTCCTCCTCACTTTCTGCCATCAAGGTTGTATCATCTGCATATCTGAGGTTGTTGATATTTCTTCCGGGAATCTTAATTCCAGCTTGAGATTCATCCAGCCCAGCCTTTCGCATGATGTATTCTGCATATAAATTAAATCAGCAGGGAGACAATATACAGCCTTGTCGTACTCCTTTCCCAATTTTGAACCAATCAGTTGTTCCATATCCAGTTCTAACTGTAGCTTCTTGTCCCACATAGAAATTTCTCAGGAGACAGATGAGGTGATCAGGCACTCCCATTTCTTTAAGAACTTGCCATAGTTTGCTGTGGTCGACACAGTCAAAGGCTTTTGTGTAGTCAATGAAGCAGAATTAGATGTTTTATGGAACTGTCTATCTTTCTCCATAATCCAGCACATGTTTGCAATTTGGTCTCTGGTTCCTCTGCCCCTTCGGAATCCAGTTGCACTTATGGGAGTTTTCCGTCCACATACTGCTTAAGCCTGCCTTGTAGAATTTTAAGCATAACCTTGCTATACACATAGTGTATAGTTGCTTAACTCTGCCTCTGTTGCTGTTTGTTGTCCTTCTCTTCCCAGCTTATTTGACCAGGTTCGGTAAAGGCAGGGCTGACTGATTTTTAGTATGACAAAATGACAGTTCAACCTCAGTGAAGTCATTCCTTTGCCTTCAAGCGGGGGGGGGGGGGACCAGAACTCCTTTCATAGCTGTCGCTTCCACTGCTAATTTGATGGAGTAGCAACTGGAACAGGGCTATGGGAATGCACCTGTGAAGCCAGTCTGGGATTACTGCTGAGGGTGCCCAAAATCCAAAAATCCAAGTATCAGCCAATGCCCTAAATATCCTTTCCTGGAATGTGGCTGGTTGGTCTAGATGTTTATCTCAGTCTACAGATATTCCATTCTATTGCCAAAACTTTAACACCATCGCCCTTCAAGAGACATGGGCGGCGGAAACTCCATTTCTGGGATTACTGCTTATCTGCCTACAGAGCTCCAGTCTTGCTCCCCCCCCCCCCCCAGATAAACTGCAGCACTGCTGCTGTGAGGTCACTGCAGACTCACAGCTAGTGCTTTCATAATCATCAAGCCCTATCCACTTTGATGCAATGCCTCCATCTGCGTATGGAGTTTGCTGGATTAGTGTTTGGTTGCAACATATGCCATGCTTGCTAAATTCTCAGTTGTACACAATTATTTCTGAATTTGCACCGTTGGTGCTGGAACACCATTTGCTGTTATATTCCTACTATTAAATTATATTAATATGCTATTACGTTATATTACTTAAGCTAAGCAAGTGTGGATTGTTTTCAACAACTGAGATAAAAACGAGTAGAAGCCTCATGCCGGAATAGGATGTGTATACTTTTTAAAATTATGGTTTCTTGCATGTGGATTTACTTAACCCATGTATGAGGACTATGTTTTGCAAGAAAGTACTGATCAAAACATGGAAGAAAAATAGCAATGATGTTCTTTTGTGTTAAAATAACAGTAATTCTTGAAGTCAGCAAGACTTCCCTTTGCAGAAGCAATGCTGGTTCTTTTTCAGTACACTTGCTGCTTCTGTATGTTTTCATATCTAATATTTTTAAAGTAATGATTTCCATATAACTTTTAATGCTGCTCTTTACCAATCTGGGCTTGTGGTTTCCTAAACATTCCTCCCACTGTCTTTAATAGTATTGCATTTGCTGGCTTAATTTACACATCAAGGTGTGCCCAACTATGGCTTCCTGAGATTGTGCAAACATTGGCTAGAGTTCATGGTTGAGGAGAGAGCTTAACCACATTCCTGGTTTCATGCTAAGCCAAACCTTACATTCACTGCTCAGCTGACCTAAAAGAACCAGCAAGGAGTAAGGCAGGTACACTCTCTTCCCCAGGAGCCAGCGCATTTGTGTGTTCACAATAAGTCATGGTTTGGGCTTAGCATTATGTGCAAGCATATCCTTATCTTCCACTCATCAACTTTAGCATTTGTTAGATCTTTCAGTTTAAAAGTCAACAGTTTTACATTTTAGTTCTGTACACCACTACCCTCTGCACGTTCACTCAGAAGTAACTCAGTGGATTTGTAACTGGCTGACTGACCGAACCCAAAGGGTGCTCACCAATGGTTCCTCTTCATCCTAGTGGGGTGCCACAGGGTTCTGTCTTGGGCCCAGTCTTATTCAACATCTTTATCAACGACTTGGATGATGGACTCAAGGGCATCCTGATCAAATTTGCAGATGACACCAAACTGGGAGGGGTGGCTAACACCCCAGAGGACAGGATCACACTTCAAAACGACCTTGACAGATTAGAGAACTGGGCCAAAACAAACAAGATGAACTTTAAGAGGGAGAAATGTAAAGTATTGCACTTGGGCAAAAAAAATGAGAGGCACAAATACAAGATGGGGCACACCTGGCTTGAGAGCAGTACATGTGAAAAGGATCTAGGAGTCTTGGTTGACCACAAACTTGACATGAGCCAATAGTGTGACACGGCAGCTAAAAAAGCCAATGCAATTCTGGGCTGCATCAATAGGAGTATAGCATCTAGATCAAGGGAAGTAATAGTGCCACTGTATTCTGCTCTGGTCAGACCTCACCTGGAGTACTGTGTCCAGTTCTGGGCACCACAGTTCAAGAAGGACACTGACAAACTGGAACGTGTCCAGAGGAGGGCAACCAAAATGGTCAAAGGCCTGGAAACGATGCCTTATGAGGAACGGCTAAGGGAGCTGGGCATGTTTAGCCTGGAGAAGAGGAGGTTAAGGGGTGATATGATAGCCATGTTCAAATATATAAAAGGATGCCACATAGAGGAGGGAGAAAGGTTGTTTTCTGCTGCTCCAGAGATGCGGACACGGAGCAATGGATCCAAACTACAAGAAAGAAGATTCCACCTAAACATTAGGAAGAACTTCCTGACAGTAAGAGCTGTTCGACAGTGGAATTTGCTGCCAAGGAGTGTGGTGGAGTCTCCTTCTTTGGAGGTCTTTAAGCAGAGGCTTGACAACCATATGTCAGGAGTGCTCTGATAGTGTTTCCTGCTTGGCAGGGGGTTGGACTCAATGGCCCTTGTGGTCTCTTCCAACTCTATGATTCTATGATTCTAACTCCCACTGACCCGTTCCACACTTAATACTAAGACAATCCATGACTTAGTGTAAACAAGTAGATTGTGCCTGCTTTGCCCCCTCATTCCCACCCCATTATTCCTGCTGCACTAAGGCATGGTATGGCTTAGTGCAAGGGTCGGCAACCTAACGCCCATGGGCCAGAAGAGGCCCATGGGGGTCGTGTAACCGGCCCATGGACCCCCGCCACCCACTTGGGGACCCCCCACTGCCCGCTCGGTCGGCTCCCGTGCGCCACGCTAAACTGGCGTGGAGTAGAGCGGGGAGCGCCTTCTGCAACACTGGCCGGCTTCCCATTGGCTGCAGGAAGCTCCTGCAGCCAGTGGGAAGCTGCACACGCCTCCTCCGCACCAGAAGGAGCGTCAGAAATAGCGTCTGCACATGTGCGTGTGTGCGCACTCCGGCCCACCGTGGCGTCTGCGGGACCGTGAAGCAGCCCAAGCCACAAAAACTTTGCCGACCTCTGGCTTAGTGTTACACTCAAATCAAGACTTCTGCTTTCACAAGCTGTAGCCAAGCTTAGTTCTGTGATTTACCACTCATGGTTTGTCTGGGGGAAGATCGACCATGAGCCTGGTTCAGATGTAATGCCAAGTTAAACTATTTCTTAGCTCTCATCAAGAGATGAGAAGAGCAGTCATATTCCTCTCTGGGAACCTGCACATTTCTTTGTTCATGCCAAGACATGGTTTGGCTTGGCACTGCATCTGACCTGAGCCAGTGGGACAGTGGTGATGCATCTTTAAGGCTGTAAACGGAGAGTAACTGCTCAGGTCTTGGGCACTTAAGCTACTAGGGTATTCCTTCATTGTAGAGATTTAGAAATTCTGACATAAATGAAAATACATTACATTGTACTAAAAAGAAATTAAATTAGGGGGGAAAGCCATCTTAAGGAGCACTCAGATTGCACAATGGCAGCAATAATTTTGAAGTTCCTAATAAGTAGAACACTGGATATAAAAATCACAGGACAATGGGACAGCCAAAATTAAAGAATGTATTTCAGAATTTAACACAGCAAAGAATTGTTCACTTGTTGATACAAAAGTTGGTCAAATGGCAATGTTAGAAAATGGCTTTTATACTTTTTTGTCAATTTCCCTTATGAACGAGGCCCTAAGACAAAGAAAAACATGTACATATACAGTAGAAAGGACAGATACCACATGAGAACACACAAGTTTTTAAAAATGCTCTATCAAATATAGATCACCATAGCCTAAGATAATTCATTTGGGGCACTATCTCCCAAACTATCCTAGGGTGCTAAGCACTTTTGTGGGCTATGGAGAACACAAGCAGGGAAGGAACAGAGCTAATCCCATTAGCCCTTACATTAGTATTTTTTAAAACATAGTTTCTTTTTCACATAGGAAAAGCAGTATACAAATTCCATAAACAAATAAATATTCCTAGGTGTAGAAAGTGGCATAGCAGTTGTACAATTGTCAAAATATTTTGGGTCTCTTTCTCTGCTACTGAGTTTAAATAGTCCAGCCGGAACTGGATCTGGCATTTGGAAACCCTGAGTTTGCTTCATATTAAAATAATGCAGTTTGCTGGTGTCTTGGGGAAAGTTTGTGTGTATGAGAGAGAGTGAATTCTTTAGTACAGTGCATCCACATTGTCCCATCTTGCGTGGGTCTGTGGGTGTGTAGATGATAGATAGATAGAGATAGATGATAGATAGATAGATAGATAGATAGATAGATAGATAGATAGATAGATAGATCCCAAAAGCTAGCAAAATCACTCCAGGAGAAATCTTAGCAAAAATAAAAGGGTCCAGGTGACAGTGGCATACGGTATGAAACACAAAGCCCTCTGAACCTTTAAGTACCCCATTCACTTAACAAGAGTTGCCTGAAAGCAATCACAACTCAGAAACCAGCTAGCTCAGATATCAAGAGTCAATAGTCTTAGTTTCCAGTGGAACACAACCAAATAAACAGCTTCGTTAGTCAATTAACCTATTGTACCATTTACACAAGATAGAATGACTGGCTGGTTCATGCCATACTAATAGAAATTTTTTACCTGCTTCCAAGTATTTCTGCATTAAACTAAATAAACTGAAAAGAATTCAACTTTGTCTGGATTGTGCCTTGTGTACAGATAATTAGTTAGGCCCAAGCAAATATGTTGCTATAAGCTAAGGACCTATCTTTAAAAGTTATCCTCTGGATTTATCTTAAGCTACTCGAAAATAATTCCAGCCCTTTCTTGCCAGGGTTGCAATTTGTCATCCAGAGGTAGACAGACTGGGCATATTTCACGCATAACAGTGTCTAACATTCAGAAAATATAAGCTCATTTCCTTCTCATGGAGAAGAAAAACACCACCCAGCTGAAAAGTTCTCCTGCACAAGCTCAAATACATTTCCAATTCTGATTTGAAATGTGACAGCAGCTGCTTTAGAGCTGCACCATGGAAACAGCACATCAAAGCCCTTCTCCTTCTAGCATAACAGCCAGTAGCTCTTTCTAGCTTTAAAGAGCTACAGGCAACAAGAAACAGAGACACTTGCACACGCCCTCCATAGTACAGCCTCATGATCAACAGCACTAAAGTGTCTGCATGGGTATCTTAATCCCTCCCCACTCCCCACCCCAAGAACATTTTTCATGTCTACACAGAAGTAGCCAGTTCTAAGATGGGGCATATGCCTGGTTAGGATCGTGCAATGACAGCTTTCTGAGGGGGACAGCGCTCCAAACGAGTAATAACATGCTTAGGGATCACCTTGATATTGGCTGGTCTTGGTCATAGCCAGTCAGGCTTAGCTTCCCATTCCACTGCAATTCGTATTCCACCAAAAGCTATGTTACTTTGTCTCACTGTCCATTGTGGCAGAAGGACTTACATACATAAGGATGTAAATTATGTTCTCATTACATAATTCCAGCCCATTCATTTCAATGTAAAAGAAGCACAATACAAATTGGGGGCAGGGAGTAATCAATTACATTTGTGTTCCAAAAGCAACAGCAATAGTAAATACTAATCATATTCACTGGACTGATAAGCGAACACCAGCCATTTCCACTCCAGTTTTTGTCAGAAATCCCCTTCTATCCTATTTTGTGCTGACTACCTGCTGCATGGCAATTGTGTTTGTGGACCCTTTGGTATTCTGCTCAGTGTTTGGCTGGGGTTGATATGGCATGTGGTCCAGAGAGTATGTACATCAGTTGCAGTACTGTGGGCATCAGGAGAGAAAAAGAAAGAGAGATCTTTATAAAAGAGGGTAAAACAGAAACACAGGGCTGATTCTCACAAATTTCTGGGCTTCTTTTTCGGTTTAAAGCAAAATAGGTTGAGTGGTTTGGCATATGTCACACATCCCATAGTGCACCAAGCTGGCTGTTTATATTAAGAGACCAGTCCATATGAAAACAGGAACACACAGAGAGATACATGGGTTAAAAGAAGCCTAAGAAGCAATCAATGTGAACTCTCCACAGAACAAAGAAAGAAGGGACAACAGGACATAGGGAAAAGTCACACAAAAATGAATAAATAAGTAAATACATAAATAAGATGGTCTGTTCCCAAAATCTGAGTGTTATAAATAGAGTCAGTAGTCCTTGGTGCTCCTGAATTCAGGCATGCTCCATGCCCTTCTGGCTGGATCGGTGCCCCTCTCAACATCTTCCGAAATGGTCTTGATGTCACTACTGAAGGGCAGAATCCTGGCCCGGGACTTGAATGTCATGAGAGAGAGGCTGGTTTTGTGCTTTGTGTTCCACTGCCTTGCAAGCTTCTTTGCCTCTTCTTCCTCTTTGCTCTTCTCCATGGCTTCTTGGAGAACGGAACGAAAAAGCCGAGACACTTCAGAGACCTCTGGTTCGTATTCAGAAACAAGCTGCCGAAATCTATGGGGAGGAAAGAAGCCAAAAAACTAATTCATAACCTGGGGTATAAATCCTAAGGCACAAATATTTGCTCTTTTAATCTATAGTTACAACAACAAAAATCCCCTTAAGAATAAGATCCCTTTTCCAAAATCGGAATATATTCGATTCATCAAGTGGATAATAGACAGCTATTAATCCAATCAAATTTTTGCCATTTAAATAATGAGGTATTCAGATGAACAGATATGGTAGATGCATGTTTTTTGCAGGAGAGATGAAGAACTAGAATCACCTCTAAAGGGTTTACTACATCCATTACAAATATTGATGACTTTACCACCAATTTTTTTATTTTATTTTATTTTTTGCTTCACTTTGCTTTGGTTACCATCCGATGCAAATTTCTGGAGAGCTTGCAAGATGGCCTAATAAAAGCTATATTCCTAATACAGATTTTGGAAAAGATTTATTATGCACTTCTTTCAAGTTATTCACATGAAGGCTCTCAAAATAGCTCAAGACACCCAGGCTGTATGCTGCATTCACACAAACATAATCAATGTTAGGTCATTTGCATTGCTTCTGTACTGTTTGCCCATGTTTGTAAAAGACAGATTACCGGTATTCTGCCTTATTTATTCCAGTTCAGTTACTCAAACAAAGAAGCAAGTGTCTATGCTATCTTTCACCAAGTATTGCCAGTACACTTTAAGTTTCATCTGCATAGGCATAAGGATGTGAAACTGGATTTTAAGAGAAAATGAGAACCAATATTTTCAGCAAAGCTCAAGACACTCCCTTTCAAGCATCACTTAACTGAGATCTTCAGTCTCTTAACCCACAGCAACAGCATTATGATGCTTCTGAGAAACTTTACGAACTGTGGAAGGTGGGAAAACCAGCATATTTTCCATTTCTGTTGGTGAGCGTACAGCCATAGCCAGAGAAGGTTGACATAAGACTTCAGCTTACCTAATAATGACGGGCCCACAGTAGGAGGGATGTATTTTGGAGCACATGTCTTCCAGCTGCAGACGCTCCCCTGGACTGATATCGTAGCTGTGCTTGGGGTAGCTAACTAGCCACCCATAGTCAACACCCGTCTTTATCTTGCGGTACTCGTTCTCTCGTTCCCGATGCTGCTTCTCAGCTTCCTTGATCTGCCAGCTGAGTTCCATCATAAGAGTTTCCACCACCATTTCTGTTGGGCTCCTCTGAGAAATGCCACGGGGGGGTTCATTCCACCCGAACCAGGAAGCCAGCGCCATGTTCTCTCTCGCTCTGGCCCCTCACACTGTAAAAGGGCAAAAAGAAAGATGATACGCATTCATTTTTGCCATAGGATCATAGAACTGTAGAGTTGGAAGGGACCCCAAGGGTCATCTAGTCCAACCCCCTGCAATGCAGGAATCTCAACACTATCAAATTGGGTCCACCATCCCCTTTGAAACCACACTGCACCCTGCTTAGCACATAACTATTAGTTTTATTGCTACACCACCAGACAAGGTATGCTTCTCTGACATGAAGCATAAAAACATTTGCGACCAAAATTTTTGGTTTTGGGTTTTTTTTCCCTCAGCTGTTTCTACCAAGAACATGAAAAAACTTTATTCTAGTAAGAGGGAATGATGTGAAAATGAAGGGTGTGGCTCTTCACCATGCCGGAAACTGCAACATAGTATAACTGCCTTATACAAAGTTAGACCAATGGCAACTCAGTATTGTCCTAACTAACCTTCCTCATAGAATCATAGAATCATAGAGTTGGAATAGACCACAAGGGCCATCGAGTCCAACCCCCTGCCAAGCAGAAAACGACCTAGTCCTCAACCTAGTCCCTTCCAGACGTTTTCCCTACCAGATGTTTTTTGGCTACAAATCCCATGCTGGCTGGGGCTGATGTGAGTTGTAATCCAGAACATCTGACCAGGTTAGGGAAGGCTGCTAATGGTTCTTAAGGATTTTAGATCAGAGTCTTTCAATCCTGGGTGTTTCCAAGCAGGGCTTGGAACCAGGAACCATGCAAATTGGCATGGGCTCTACCATGATAGAACTCTCACCTTGGGGGTCCTTTCTTTTTGGCAGTGAAATGTGACATTTTAGCAAGTACAAACCTTCCCCAAAACAGCAACAGCATAAAATACTAAATAAAAAATCTGTGAAATCATAACTCTTCCCCTGCTGGATTTAGGGTGGTGTGGGCGGTTCCCCCACAGAGGGTGCCAAGATCCATAATTAAGAAGATCCAGGGGGGGGCAATTTTTGTTTTGCTGAGGTAAAGATGACCAAAGTCCACCCCTGAGAAGGGAAGGTCACATGTGGCTGCTGCAGTGTCTTCCTTTCAAATGGCCGTTGAAGGAGCCAAATATTGCTGCACTGAAGCTGAAGGAGCCAAATAGTGTCCCCTCAAAAAAAAGGGGGGGGGGAATCACCAAAACAGAAGCCCCTTTTTCCCAACCCTCTTCCCCCTGCCTTTCAGGCAGCGTAAGTCTTAGGACCCACAACAGCCAGACACTCCCCAAATAGCAAGTGATAAGTGGTCCTTCAGTGTGAGAAAACATAGCATATGAATATGGTAACAATTATGCCAGCGATCTAAATGAAAGAAATGTATAGACCTTTGGGAGTATCTGCTGGGAGACAGAGGGCTACAGAGGTGGTGGAAGAAAAACAATGCTATGCGCACCCTATTATTTTCCATCTGATATCCGACAGGATACATTCAGTTCTGTTATGGGAGCCAGAGAAAGCCTCGACAATCAGCAGCTGAATAAAAGGTCATGTGAAAATCCTCCTGGTTAATCTCAATACATAATCTTCCTGATACAAGGTTGCCATGTGGAACAAGCATTTTATTCCTGATTGAATTTAGACATCATCATCATCATCAATAAAAATGCAGGCAAACAATTTCTAAAAGCAATAGCAAAATGTGAACACTTTAAAACAAAGCGAAATTAAATGCTACTGGAAGCCAGGAGTAAAAGATATTATATATTCAAACTAGCAGCTATAAAACCAGGTGTCAGAACATTAGAAACCCCAATGAAATTTAAAAATCTTCAATTTCTGGCACAAAAATGCAACAAGAGGAAGCCCACCAAATTTCAGCTGGGGTGGTATTTCTGGGTCAAGGCATCATGACAGAGAAGGTTCCCAAGACAGGCCTGAGAGCAAAGCCTCCAACATTTATCTCAATACCTAGACAGGCTCATATCACAGCAAGCAGCCTCTAATATAACCTGGTCCTAAGCCATTTAAGACTTTAAAAGACTAGAAGCAGCTTTTAATCCAAAAGCTAAAAGAGCCAATGGAGCTGGCATGACATTGGAGCACTTGCAAGCACCAGCTACTTGAGACCCAAGTCATTTGGGACTTTATATTTCAGTGTTAATATCTTAAATTGGGCTCTGTAGTTAACTGGTAACAAATGCAAATCTTTTGAGACTGGCGTAATGCATGTTCAGTCAGACACGTCAACCTGAAGCCTCGCTGTTGCATTCTGCATTAATTGCAGCTTCTTGTCTTCAATGACAACCCCACACAGAGCATGCTGCAATAGTCCAACATGGAAGTTACTAGCTCCCTGTGGCCAAGCTTTCCTTGTGTAGGAATGACTATATCTGGCAAACCAGCCAGAGCTGGAAATAGGCACTCCTAGCCACTAGGGCATAGTGGAGTCAAGGAGTACTGTACTCTCAAGCTATGCACCTGTTCCTTCCAAGGGAGAACAACCTTGTCCAAAATTGGCTTCTACCAACTTCCCAAGCTTGAGATCCTGCAACACATAGTACCTCCACCCTGTCTGAATTCAGGTTAGGTCAATGATGCTGATGATGTCAGATTGGAGTATAAAAGACAACAGATTGGAGCTGCAGTTCAAGAGCCAACTTCGCTGACTGGATACTCAGTTAAGATGATATATGTAAGGCAGGTTTTGCCTCTGCTTTCCAAGGAAGCAATTAAAGTCCAAGAGCCCTGTAAACAGTTACAGGCAGCAGTTATGGACCAGAGATGAATTGTGTCAATATAAAGTCCCCTCTTCCTTTTCCTGCTCCTTTCAGTTCCAGGAAACTCATCACAGTGAAGTTAGTGAGCTGGCCCCATTTCCATTCTCTTGCTCTCATGGGGGATGCCACAGATTTTCATGAGAGCTGCTCTGCTCGTGTTTTTAATTTAAAATTCACTGTGGGGCTAATCATCAGATTACACACAGTGTCTTTTCTGTAAGTAAGGACTAAATAACAAAAACAAATGAGAGCTTACAGGACAGTTTCCAAAGCTATGATGGAAAATACATTTTCATCTAAGCAATTTATTACATTCAAAATGTTTTATAGCCAATTTTTATATTAAAAAACTTCTTACAGTTTTCAACTTGGTGCTGTAATAATAATGAACTTTTTTCAATCATTCAAAGCAATACACTAAATGCAACCATGGCTTTCCTGGGCTTGAGTTACTTGCCATGACCTAAGCATCTTTCCTTTGCTTTGGGATTTACAGCAAAATCCCATGCATATCTGCTAAGAAGCAAAACACACAGAGTTCAATAGGACTACCTCATAGGCAATAACTAGGTATAGGACTGTAGACTTAGCCACTGCTTAACTTTTCCGGCAATTGTGCCCACAGAGATGGTGTCAAAAATCACACTCGTATGCTCTTTTAATAACATAATGTGTTAGAACTCACAATTTCTAATCCAGTGAACATGGGTTAATTTCTACAGGGGAGGTGTAAAAGCTTACAGCTGTCTAGAAGTCCTATCTACAGAAGTCTCCAGACACACAGTACTCTTAAAAACCATAATATCAAAGGACTGCACTGGCCAGTTGGTGGACTTATGTCAAAAAGCCCAGAGCATTTCCTCTTTGAGAGCTTCAGTAGCTTATTTCATGTTAGGGGCTGGCCTCAAAGTTAGGCAGCAGCCCTCTTTTCTGTTGTTGTTGTTGTTGTTGTTGTTGTTGTTGTGGCGGATGTGGAGGAGCCATCCCTCTTCATCTCTTTCAGACACTTCTTTCTCTCATCCCACCCCCTCCCTGCTCAGTGGACTTCCAGAGAAAGGACAGATTACTCAAACACTGTAAAGACCCATTACCCTCATCACAATCCCCTCTCATGTATCTTTTTCTACATTCTTCAAGTTCCAAACTGCACTAAAGCTCCAGACAGCTTAGAGACCTGAAGAAGAGCACTAATATTAAAGGCTTGGGATTCACTGCAACGTTTTGTTGTGGGTCCCCATTTATTATGTTATAAAAGCATATTTGGATGCCATCATAAACACCAAGAATTGCATAACACCCATCTATTGTGCTGCAATTTCTATAGCTGAGTCATCGTCCAAGGCTTTTCTTAGACAATTTTAAACACACTTACAGTGAATGGCATTCCAGACATTCCTTTGTTAAAAAAGGTGCTGGTTCTTGAAAGAACTGTCACACATAAGAGATATTCAGTGTCCACAACCAGAGCAAGCAAGGACAATAGATTTAAGTGGGTGGTGTGGGATGCATGGCAGTGCGAAAGGACATGTTTTGAAGGATGAGGAACCAACACGGCACAATCTTTGGTGCTCTTTCTGATTGCTATTTAAGCACACCCATCTCAAGCAGTCCCAGGTCAGGAACTGCACTTAACAAACTACACATGATATAAAGAAGACTCAGGCTCCGCTTCCCCACTACTGTACAAAGTTGCAGCTAGGTGGGAACAAGGCAGAGGGGGAGATTCACCCTCCTTTTCCCAGTCTTCTTCCTTGCTGCTTTTCTCTCAGCTAGAATTCCAGAAACCCATTTCCACTGCAACTGAGTCCACGACACCACTGACAACAGATATGTGTTCAGCAGTTTCCCAAAGTGGTCAGCAACATACAGGTCAGAGGAGGCATTTCACAGTAGGTACATTAGGAACAGAAGTAGGTACAAATGTAAACTTCCTGCTATGTAATAGGCACATGGTAAAATACATGGGATTGCATGCTTTTTCTTCCTTACCATTCTGGAGGCAGCAGAAACACACAATGGAGAGCCAGGGGCCAGAGAATTTATGTTACAGGGCAGAAGTTTGTGCATGTTCATTTCTGAAGTAGTAGCCCTAAGACTACTTGGTGTGTGTTGATGGTTTTAGGTGGGTGCTTTTTAGAGAATGTAAAAAAGTGTGAATAATGAAATAACATGATTGAAAAGTGGGTTTAAAATAGCCTTTAAAAAGCACACAGTGATGTGGTGGCAAGCTTTCCATTGTTAATTCCTCCTCGCCCACAGAAATGTTTCAATTTAGAATTGC